TACATTATTCTAAGCCTGGCACTACAGCACAAGTGCTCACAGGAAGTATTTCCCAGAGAGAAGATTTTTGCAGCGTATCTGCCTCAGTGCCTTGTAGCTTCAGCTTTAGTCACATGGCAGGAGTGGAAGATTTCTGCAACAGGCTGAATCCTGGAGATGGAGATACACCTGCTGGGTAGGCCACCAGCACTGCCTGGGGGGTCTGCACTGCTGGTCCATATTCAGTCTCCACAAAGCCACTGACCTTGTAGCTCAGGCCAGAGTTGCCAAAACCAAAGGCACGGTGACCAGCTGCTGACCCATAGCAAAGCATCATTCTGCACCAGTTGCTCTGTGTCCCTTCCCCTCCTGTTGCACCAGAGGTCTTATTTCATAAGGCCCAGCTCTTCTGCAGGGTAATCCAAACCAAAGCAGGGCAAAATTATAAAATGCCAAGCAGGAGAATCTTCTAGCAAAAGCAACTATCTGCCATGGAGAGCTGCTTCTTTCCATGGAAGCATCCAAGGCTGCCCTCGAAAAGGCTTCCACCCAAGTACCCGTTACCCAAAGCATCCTTCTATATTTATGTCAATATGTCTTCTCCTGAGCAGAACAACAAAAATGAGACGTGAACAAAGTCCCACCAAAAAACATATTGCCTAACCTGATGAGGACAGAACTGTCCCACAGTACAGATGGGAAGTTAGCAGCCTGTGGGCCATCTATAAAGGCTCTTCTTCAGGAACTCCTGCTGCAGAAAAAATACCAGGGTCACATGCAGGGCACAAGAAGCCTGCTTTTATGGGAATTGCCAATCATAAAAAGGACGGCTCAATCAAAAAGTTGTATCTCAGGAAAGATACCCTTGCACTTATACTTAGTACTGTCTTTGGAAGTTGCCTGTTTTCCTGGATTTTGCTCTTTAATAAAGTTTTGTTATCCTGTTCATGCCCGTTACGAGTGAGAATTTATAAAATATGCCTCCTTCAACCAACTTCAGCTAATCTTTATCACTGAATTCAATAACCTCAGAATAAGTTCATCCTCTTTTCTTTCTTTTAACCCTAATTAAGATGCTCTTAAGCATCTCCCTTCTCTTCTTCCCTTGGGCGATACACAATTAGCTCTTGTAATTAAAACTGTACCCGAAGGGCTGGGATTTGCACAGATGTTGGCATTGCTCCAGGCAACACCATGGGGTTACTGTCAGGCTGAGGTTGCTCCTCAGCACTGGGTGGGACACGTGAGGGGCCTTACAGAAGACGCTAGCAAGCAGGTCTTCTGAGATTTTCTGACTGGGGCCTTGGGGGACTTTTCTGGATGTCTGGTCTGTGGTATTTTTAAACTTGTTATCCAGATACGTTGGCTTCCAGTATTTCCTTCTGTAGTACTCATCCGTGAGTCCAAAATTTCCCTAAGTGAATGTGGAGAGTCTGCCCTAGAAGATTTTCCATCATTCAGCCCTATCTGGAATTTTTTCTCTGCTCATTGATCTCAGGTCCAGGGGAAAAATAAAAACAAAAAAAAACCCAAACAAACAAACAAAAAACCAGAAAACAAAACAAAACCAAAACCACTCACCCATAAATGGATTTGTTCAAATTTTCTCTCTCCTTGTTTGAATGTCTTGCTCCAAGCCCACATACTGCAGCAGGACTGGAGAGCATTTCTTATGGTCACCCCTCCAGCAAACACGATGCACCCCTTGTGCTACGACTCTCACAGCTGGCTGGGCCACAAGCTGCCTGAGCACAGATGGTTTGTTCTCGGAGACCACAGTACTTCTGTGACTCAAGACAAATAAAAGGTTGAGCCCAAGGCTGGCTCAGTTGACATTCCAGATGATGGGAAGATCTTTCCTGTGAAATTAAAGTATTTCCAATATCCTTCAGCTTCCTCCTTCACACCACCTGAAATCAGTCCAAGTGGGACATTGTGGAAATTTGCCCAAACAGGAAAAATTTTCACACCTGTTCTGGAACAAGGTTGAGAAGAAGAGGGGAGAATTGCACTTTAGATCTTATACATAGGAAATTTGAGGTGTTTCAGGGTGCCTTTCCCCCTTTTACCTGTAATTCGAGGTCCTTTTTATCATGGACCTTTATCATTCAAGTCATAGAAAGTATGACTTATTGTCATAGGATCATCTGAGGGAATCTGATTTTCACCCACTAACACCAAGTCACAGGGCGGAGGCTCGGCCATGGGTCATTGGGATGATCCAAGGCTGCATTGGGATGCAGCTCAGCCAAGAAAGCTGGGCAATAGCTCTCTGAATTACCATTCCCAGGAATCCATGGACACCCACAAAGAAGTGCGGTGGTCTCTGGGTGTGCAACAAGCACAGTGTTAGCTTTTATGTTAATGTTTCTTTTTTATTCCTCTCTCAGAGCTGTGCCACGAGATTTACTGAGTTAACTACACCAGAATAATCTGAGGGGTGCTCTTCATGCAAAGAAGACCATCAAATGGGTGATGACTTTTTGACTGTACTTAACAAAAAAAAAAATTAAGAACAATCAGCAAAACTCAAATCTAAACATGGGTGCAGGAGATGGTGTGTGGTTGCTCTGTCCCGGCGATGCTGACACCCACAGCCACAGAGCTGCCAAGAGGATTTGAAGCAAAGGACTAAACCATGGGGAAACATTAACGGGATCCCTTGGCACAAGGATTCAAGCTGCTCTCAGCATCCACAGCCCTAAGCACAGCAGGTTGGGGATTATGTCACATCTATGTTCCCATGGATATCTAGAAAGGAACAAGATATTTATTTTGAGTGAAGGACTGTTTAAGTCAACTAGATGGATTCACTTTGAACCGAAATTTGCTGAGGACCGTTCACAAGACTACCCAGGCTCCCCATTCCCACCCAGCTTTGCTGTCCCACTCACTTTCACAGCACTTTTGGCCATCTGGGTTTCTTTCGCTCCATCCACCACCACCCAGCCATCAAACAAGGAAGGAAAATGGTATTGACTTTTGTCATTATTTATTACAAATTAAATTTTTCAAATTACTGTCTACAAAAATCGATTTAAATAAATATACAGATTTCAGATTGCTACATATGGCATGTGTGCAATAAGTCACTCAAAGATGAGACATTATACACACAAGGAGATATACATAGTACTTTACAGCAGTAGTTTTATTTTAAATTACTAGGCTCACATTAAACCATGTGCAAAGTTTCCTCTGGAACAAACCCTTTCAGGATTTTTTTTTAGAATGACTCAAACCTTCAGAAGGTCAAATATAAAAAAGTTTCTCTGCAGCTTTGGGGACCAAATGATTAGTCTGTTGTTTCATTTGTGATACAATCAATTGGTCTCATTTTTCCCCCTTCTGGGGCATAAAGCAAAACCAATGAAGTGTTTTATATGTCCAATGGGACTACACTTGCAACAGCCACAGATTTTGGTCCACCACCAACTTCAAGCAGCCTTTTTAGATGCTCGTGTGTAATACTGGGTTGGGCAGCAAGGGGGACCCAACAGTGGTTCCAGGAGAGCAATTATTTATCTGCACGAACCAGATGACAGCTGCAGCCACAATTTATAATAGAAGTTAATCTGCCCAGGCAAACAAAAGTGCATTTGTGATACAGCTCCGGAGCCTTGAGATTGTGTTTGCCGGCAAGATTGGTTTCTCGGTCCTGGGCTCAGTGTTTTTTTACAAATTATTCCTTCCCTCCTCTGGGCCAGCAGCACTGTGCTGCTCCAGGCCTGGGGAAGCAGCCATGATTCTGGCATGGGTTTCAATCCAAGCCTTTCTTCTAAAGCTGTGCAGACAGTGCTGTGCTCTCTTCTTAGCGATCCTTTTCTCCACATCAACCCCACCCAGCTGCCCCTTGCCTAATGCGTTCTCTGTTCAGGTCACGCTTCTCATAGTGACAAGCTAGCCCTATACTGGGAATTTATTTAATAGAGAGTCCAACTCAGAGACCTCATCTAAGCGAAGCAGCAAGCAAGCCTTTGCATGCTATTTTCCCACCACCCATCTTCCCTGCCCCTAGCCTCTCCTTTCAGGCAGAACTGAAAGCAAGCTGGGATATTAGGTTAAGAGCTGGAAGGGAAGAGTACCCACTAAGGATATACCCCAGGAGATGAGACAGGTTCACAGCACTGAACTCATCCAGATTAGCAGCTGGGGTCTGTCCGGAACCCACAGGGGCTCCCCTCCCCTAGGCTACCCAGGGGTCCTGCAGAACGACAGCTCCACTTCAGCCTCCCCACCCCTGCTGCTGCTGTGCCCGGTGGCGGGGGTCATGCTTGGATGTGATGCAAGCTCCGGTGGAAGTAAGCTAACCTCCACCTAAACCAGAGCCACTTAAGGACAGCCCTTCAGTGAATTTCTCAGCCAAAGAGCGCCACTGACTACTCAGCTGGCTTTCAGGCTTCTAAATGATATATATCTTTTTAATAAAAACTGGGAGCTGTTTTACCATGGGAATCTCACTCATATGCACATCGCACTGTCTGACAGATAAAGAGAAAAATAGTGCAAAGGTGGGCTCGGGCAGGCCACGCTGGAGGCAGCTTATTCCCATCTACAACAACCAGCCAAACCACCTTTGAATAGCACCAAGCTGGAACCGTGCTCAAACGTGGTTCAAAGGCAGAGCATACCCAGCCGGTGACATGGGCTCGGTGCCGCCAGGTCCAGAACCGCACTAGCCGCCTGGTTTGTATGTGATTCAACCGCCCAGCGCAGGCTGACCCACCGCCTAGGACTCCAGTGCAGAATTAAGCTAGTACTCTACCAGCAAGACCCTTGACTGATCCAAAAAGGCACAATTCAGCTCCACAACACATGATGACTGTATAGAGAGGCAGTTTTCCCTTTACAACAGTCTCTGGAGCACATGCAGTACTGGTTCACGCAACAGGAGCATGGAGACTTCCACTTCTTCCCCCTTCCACTCATGGCCTTTCGTTCAGCTCTAACTACCGACAGCGGAGTTAGCGGCACCCACAGGACTCCAAATTCTTCTGGTGAACTTGGTATGCACCTGTTTCTTATCTCTTCTTCTTCCAGATGTTTTTCTTCCAAGGCAAAACTGTCGGTTGAGCGTTCCTCCGAGAATGGTGCTGATGCTTGCCCAACCGCGGGCTGGAGACGGCAAGATCCCTGTAAACAGAAGAGACACGATGGTCATTCTCCAGTCCATTTTCCTACTACTCAACAACAGCCCGGATTATGATATTTATCTAGCCCTCGCCAAGATTTTAGTTTGAGGCAGAATATGCGGGAGGGAAGAGGGGGAATTTCTAGCCGCAACTCTATTAAGCCACAGCGGAGATCCATCTAGCCCAACATCCCCTTTCCACCCCGTGGCCGGTAGCAGAAGATTCAAGAAGTCCTGCAGCAGGGCATGACCCAAGTGATGCTTCCCCAGACCTCCCTTTCTGAAAATATTTTCATTAGATTTGATTTAACTACCACCAATGGACTCATCCTCCTTCAATCTGCCAGCTCCCTTTAACTCCTGGAGTCCACGGTTTCTTCCAGCAATGAGTTCCACCCTTCAGTGTGGTGATGCAATAAGAGCTGTTTCCCTTGGTCCAAAGCTGCTGCCCCATCACTACTTTTCCTATGAGATGTTGTCCCTCCCTCATTTTTATACATCACCCATTTGCCTGTCCCGTATCAGAGGAACTCCCCACTCCAATTAAGAATGACATTTTACGTAACATTCCTCTAGTTTTGGAGGAGACAAGCAACGTTGGTTCCCTCAGCTGTTAGCCTTCAATTCCACAGAGAGCAGAAATAGCCAAGTCTGCTCATTGAAACGGAGATTAGAGGGGGAAGTCAGGTCAAATCCAAGTAGCAATGCAGCCTGGGGTCACAACCGCAGGTTTTCTTTTCAAGTGCTTATGAGGGATGTTGAGAGTTGGTTTAAGTGGTGTGCTCACCTGAGAGCTCTCAGCAGGCCATGGTGGGACGGCCTCATGTCACCGCTCTGCGGAGACTTCACTGATGCTCCCGAGCTCGCTGGGAGCTTCAGACTCTGGAGGTACCTAATGAGGAGGAGGAGATGCATCAACCACTGACATCCAGCCACGTGATGGTAAGTATCAGGGGGAGTGTTGCTCTAACGTCACCAGTGACAGACTAAGACAGTTAAATGCATGTTTCTGAGGGGTTAATTGCAGCTATTTGAGAGCTATTTATAGCTCACTTTGACTTCTATCCTCTTCTGCTCTCACTCTATTCACAGTCATTGAGGATTTTAACTCTTGCTTTGATATTAAATCAATGACAGAGCTCTACAACAACTTTGCTCCCCACTTCCCCATGGCGAGCACTCCTGTACCACTGTCTGAAGCTAGACAACTGAGAGCCCCCATACAACATAAAAAGACCCGGCTACAGACTTCTGAGCTCCCAGCAGTCCCACTCTCCTGCAGCCTCTCCCACCTAAGCCATGCAGGAGACACTGGTGCCCCAAAACTTCACACCCTCTGCCGGTCCCTCTCCCAGCCTGCTGCCAGCTCCTCCCTTCCCACCAGTGCACCCAGCACTTCCTCAGCCTCCTGGCAGCGGGAGGGATGGAGGCAACATTGCTTCATATCACCCAGTAAAGGGACTACTGTACAACAAAAACACCCTGGTGACATTTTGCCAGGGCCTCTGGGAGGGGTAGGAAAGCCACTGGACAAGTTCCAGCCGTTTGCCAAGAGCTGCGCGGCCATTCCCAGGGAGCTGCAGAGTTGTTCCAGCTCCTCAGCTTTGTCTGTCTGCTCCCACCCTCTCCCAGCAGCCCCCATAGACATCCCCAGGACCCCCCTGACTTACCCAGGCTTGGCTTGGCAGAAGGTGGCACAGACGCTGTCCCTCGAGTGCGAGCACTCGCACCTGCCCAGTGATCTCTTGCGCCGCCTTGGCGGGCTTCCCAAGCCGTAGGGAGCGGTGTGTCTGTTCAAAACAAAAGAAATCAGCTATGCAACTAACTTTTTATTAGCCATCAGGTTTATAGCACCGTCCTGGGAGGCAGCCAAGCCAGTGCCGGGATAATAAAAGACTCATCTATAGACACAAGGTGAAAAGGTCAATGATATGGATAAGCCTTTAAACTCCAGCTCTTCTCCTACCTGCTCTTTTCCCCACCCTACCCCTCCCGGGGAGATTGCCGTGCCAGTATGTGCTGGGTTGCAAGTGGAATTTTCTCCCCTCGCAGCAGCCCAGGTGCCTGTGCAAGGGTCGCCGCACGGGCTGGGCGAGCTGGCAGCTCACCTGGGTGGCAAAACACGCGAGGAGCACGGCTGCCTCCATCCCCCCGCCCCACCACCAGCCAGATTCTCGAGCATGGAGATGTCAGGGCTTTCCCTCCCCTCCCCGTGGGTTTTAATACACAGGCCACAGTACAAATCGAGATGTCTTTGGGCTATAACAGGTTCTTCTGATCACAGCACGCTTTCAGAGCTGTTAGCACATTCCCACTCCATCTTTGATCGCAATCTCCTCTCCCAGAGGGTTTAGGATTGGCAGCGACTGCAAGTATTCTCTGAGCAAGCAGCGAGTTGTAATTGCACGTTAGCGAGCGTGATTATAACCACACCTGAGTACATGTGTTTTGCTACAGCGGGATGGCCATTGGTCTGAAACCGCTCGGCAAGCTGCTGGAGCATTCCTGAGGGCAGGACTTGGCAACCGCGGGACGTTAGTGCCAGCCCACCACTGTCTCATTAACAATACTGGCAGCAGGCAGGGTTACAGTTTGCAAGCGAGTAACTTTCTGACTTGCAGCTACAACATCCTTGTGTTGCTTTCTGCTTGCAGAGGTACAAATCGCAGAAAAAGAGGAACCCGTGAGGAGGCAGCACCCTGTGCTTTCAGCCCCCTCCTCTGCAGGTTATACTGAAACTCCTGAGCAAAGACACAGCTTCTCCCTTTCTAGTTGTTTGAAAGGACCAGACTTGCAATGCTCTCCGGAGCAGGTGCTACAAGAGCCTCACAGCACAGGGACCCTTTCTCACTTTCCTCTAACCTAACCCCATCCTCGCTCAGAAAGTACCGTCACTTACCCATCACCCCACCCCAGCCAGCTCCCTTGGCGCTTACCCAGGTGTGTTGACCCAGATGATATCCAGGTGACAGAAGTAGATGCACTCCTTATCCAGCCAGCTGTTGCAGGAACACCGCTTGGTCCTGGGGTGCGCGGCGCCGGCGGGGGCCAGCTGGGACTCCAGCGGAGGATGGCCCGTACCTGCAGCAGAGGGAGGAAGGGATGAGTTGCAGGACTGCCGGAGCGCCCGTCGGTATGTCACCTCTGCGGTCACACCTCCGGTAAGGAGCACGGTGATTTCCATACACAGGTGATTTTACAAG